CTCCTTCGTATCTCAACCAAACCAGCGAGTACAGTCAGGGCAGGCCTGACAAGGGGTCTGCATACCCAAATGCCAAGCCTTCTCCAGCTGCTGCACTGCCAAAGCACAGCCTCACACCGAAGGACACAGCCATCTGTTCAGCCGACCACAAAGCGCTGACATTTCTGATCAAGCTGCATGTAACAGAGCAGAAGCTGCAAGCTCAGAAGCTCTTATTCCTGAGTTACAGGATGAGCCCATTAGCCAGGAAGAATTATTCTTGCAAGAAGTTCTGAAGAAAAACAACGTGTTGTCAGACTTCTCTAAGAAAATATTTTCTTGCTGCGAAAGGAAACGTTTTCAGTTTGGTGGCTGAAAAAAGGAACAGTTCCATTATTTCCAGTGTAACCTCATAATATTTCATCTGGAACCATAAGTGCTTTACAAAAGCTGTCTTTATGATGATCTAAGCAATCTGTTAAAAGACAAAAACAAAACTACCATCCCCAACATTTGGAGATGAGATGCTCTAACCAGCTGTACTTAAGAGAAAAGAAACCTTACAGTAAACCTCTAAGTGCACAGACAATCCCATTCAGGAACACTGCATTTCACAAAGATTAGTCAGAAATTGCAACTCAGACAAGCAGTTGCTGCTAGTCTTGTGACAGTATACACTAACACAGCAGTACTTACACTATTAAGCAATGTGTGCATATATTTGTGTCTGAATGCGTGTACACGAATAAAAATACCTGGACACATATACACACAGGCCACCATTTCACAGTATGTCAAGACAAAGCTGTTTAAAACAAGTCATTTGGAGCAAAATAATTTAAACATTCTTTCTTTTCCAGGTTCCCTGCACCTGAAGCACAGCCTCACCAACTCCACAGTGCTGCACTGATGAGCAAGGCTACATCAAGCACCCTAGATGCAGGCTGTTTCTCTTTTTCCCTCTTACATGTTTTCAATTTTTCCTTTTTCTTTTTCTTTTTTTTTTTTTTTTTTTTTAAGAGGCATAGCAGAAATTACACAAGACTTTAAAAAAAAAAAAAAAAAAGAAAAAAGATTTCCAGCTCCAGCTCTCACTAGAGTTGCACAGCCAATCAAATTTGTGATGTGCCATAGGAATAATCTCAAAAAAATAAGCGAAGCATACAGTAGACTGACATTTCATATCAGCAATTTTTTGGTTATTAAAGCCAGCATGTAATGACACATTTGTGTAACAAAGAAATTATTTTGAAGCATTTTAAGACCCTGACAGACGTATTCTCTGCATTGAGTCTAGTACTATGATAATATTAATTTCACTCAGAAACTTTCTAAATGCCATTTGAACAACAATATTGCTCAACTGATATACAGCATGGATTTCCTCTTGTCAGCCAGCATGGGTTGCTGCCTGCTAGGGACTACATGCTAGAGCAGTGCAGAAAGGAGAAATGGGACCCACACGAAGAGCAACTATGTGAGACTTCCTTCCATTATGGAATAAAAGTGCCCTTCAGGTGCAATATTCATTAAAACTGAAAAGTTCAGTTTGGTCACAAATTAGTTAAGATGTGAACACTCTGGTCCCTGCCCAAAGTCTTTCAGGTGTATCGAGGTACACCCAAAGTACTGTGAACAAAAGCCTGCTCTGTCAGAGCTCACAGGCATCCTGGGACTGAACAATATAACCCACACTTCTCCCTTTTGCATCCTTGCCATTCAGTTTCATTTTACTGTCATTCAGATTCCCCTCCAACCTGGTGTTAATTTTGCTATCGAGACACACTAAAATGCATTTTCAGAAGCAGAGTACATTCACAGCACGTTCAGGAATTTCTTGGCACCAATAAGGACTCAGCCTGCAGCAGCCCAATGCAGCATTTCATCTCCTCTTACCACGCTGAAAGATGTTTCACAAAGCAACCAGAACACTGGTGTTCCCACTACAGAACACCACGTGAAATTAACTGGTCCCTTCTACATGCTAATCCAGCCAAGCACAAAACCAGCTAGATAGATTCAGATCATCAGTTACATCCAGAAGTTATCTTGCTATCCAGACCTGCTTAATCCAATTGGTTTCCTCTTTCCCAGCTCTACTCAGGGAAGCATGCAGGAAGCCCTCCCTGCCTCCCTATTTACAGGCAGAGCATAACCTAACTTCTACTCTGACACTACAGGCTGAGATTTGGAAGCTTTCTTGAATCAGGACGTTACAGTCGCTAAAAATCACAAGAGCCAAATTGAATCAGAGCACCAACCCTTATTCAAGCAAAAATCCTGCTCTGATTATCATTTATCTTCATTAAAAGCCACAACTACCTAGCTGCTCCACCACGCTATTGGAAAGACTTCAATTTGCAAAGCAGAGAGCGCTGCTTAAGGCAAAGGGTTTAAAGAACCGAATACTCAAAAGGATTTACTTTAGTCAAAGTTGACTTTAGTCAACTCCCAACCAAAAATAAGTAAATAAATAGCACACAAGACTCTGCCTCATTTGTTTCATCCTCTTGTCTTCTGTGCCATAAAGCCTTCATAAAATGCAATTGTTTTCCATCCTTCAAATTAGTCCTTTTAGTCCCTGATTTATTTTGATATCAAATAACAGAAGTTAAAAAGGTTTCTGTACAGGGGCAATTCCCAGGCAGTTACAGCTAGCTCTCTAAACCTAAAGATGCTCACTCCCTCCAGTTTGCCTGCTGAAGTCAGTAACATTCTTCTCTCACAAGCAAACAGCTCCCATATACAGGCCCAGTATATTTCAGAATTATTACTTAAAACTGTACATCAGAAACCAGCCAATTAGTTCCTGGTTTATTAAGCAAATACCAGATGGATTTATTTTCTGGATTTCAAAACTACAGGTAGCAAACTTAAGAAAAATAGACATAAAACAATTTTGTAAATTCAGTACCTTGGCAGTTAAGACCTACTAACATACAAACTCATTAAGATAATTATTTCCTTTGATTACCCTCAATACCTTTAGGGAAGCAAAAAAAGGAAGTGACATCAGTAAGCAACTTAAGAGACTCTGGGCAGAAAAGCAGTAGAACCCTATCCAAAAATATGAGATTACATATTACTACTAATCAGCTGTAAATTAGAGGGTCATTTCATGAGGTATCAATGTAACTAGATACAATTGGAGCTGTATGTCAAGAATGAGATCTGATTACCTATCTCTGGTTCTTATCCTACAAGTACATATGATCTCAGGTCAGTACAAGCACTGTGATTTCTTATATAATTAGGACATAGGATGTCTATTACTAGGACACCTACAGAAATATTAAATGAGGACATTTATTCATCTCAGTTGTTACAATTACATCACTAAATAAAATCCTTTTACATCCACAAATTAACATTAATCAAACTTGCAATACATCATAACTAACACACAGACATGCTGAGCTCGTGGAGGTATTATTTTAACTCTAGAGTTTAAGTGCAAGCAAATATTTTTAAAGATTGTTAAATATTACAGTTCTCACTTTCAGATTCCCATTCCAGGAGAAGTCCCATGGGAAGTTTGTTCACACAGGAAAAAGTCCATTCAAATACTTATATGCAAAGAATAAATGCATTCCTTTAGTCTTCCTAGAGCAACACTCTGGCAATAAAGGCTGCCTACATTATGTACTGCTCGTATGCTCATTCCTCTAATTGTCACTGACAGTATTTCCAACCAGCAGTTACCACAATGAATAATTTGTGTTTGAGGAAATTTTTTAGCTGCTTGAAACTCTAAATTTTAAGTGTTTTAAATGAAAATAACAGCTTAGGCACATTTGTTAGATCAACCGGGTGAAAGCAGGCAGCACCACCACAGGCAGATACTCAGAGGAGAGATCACTGCAGCAAGGAGGGGGAGGATCTGAGAGGCAGCTCAGAGCATTTATTTCCAATCATCAGGTCAGGGACTGGCCTCCTGCAGGACGAGTTCATCCTCTGAACACCACAGACCATAGAGACAGCCAAACAACTCCAGGGCACTCAATACTCCAGCCCTGCACAATGAATTGGCCGATGCCACAGGCACTACCTTCCTTCTAAGGGATGTTTTGTTACACAGCCAAGGCTTCATCCACTATCTGTTCATTTTGTAACGAATAAACAGCATTTTGTGGCTTGATGAGAACAATTTCTAGATCTCATCATGTCTTTCAAAGAAAACGCTCTCAGTAAGAGCTGGGCTTTGTATATTTGTTCAACTAACTGCAGCATACAGAGGAACTCTGTGGCATGTCAGTGAAGTCCAATTTTAGAAACGAAAGCACAGGATCGCTCTGGTGAGCTGAATGCAACAGATAAGTACAGCATAAAATCCACTGCAAAAACCAAAGGCTTTGGTAAGGGAGGGAAAAGAGTGATAATGTTATCTAATAAAAATACATTAAATCCTGTGTGTCATCTCACGCTTCTGCTGGAGAATTCAATATGCTGCGAGTAGTTTGCTGCCAAAAAGTTACAGTCCAGAAAGCACTAAACCCCCTATGAAAAATTGCTCACCTCCATCCAGCAGAACTAATAGCTTCCCACTGTGTTAACCAACACTTCTCTGCCCGGTTTGGACACATTGAAACAAAAATAAAGTAAAGCATTTCAGACTTCTCAAAACCAACTATTCTCTTTGCATCCCCGCACAAAGAAGGCCGAACTCTGAGGCAGCCCACAGAGCCCTTTCCACCTTTGCTACACAGCAGTGAGGAATAAACTGTAGCACTTTGCCTCTGATAAATAAAACATCAGCAGGCTCAAAATGAAACAGCATATTGTTTGCCTCTTGACAAGTGTCCTGTGTTAAGTGGTGCCCAACAACCACAATTGTGCTTGCTACTGGCACAACATACACCATCTGCATACTTCCATGGAGGCTGCAGTGTCTCACTCCCAAAGTGAGCAAGGTTTCCACGCAGTGACTGCATTTCAGGTGCACACAGCAGCATTAGAGCTGCCACTGGGTCACTGCCTGGGAAATGCACTCAGTGCTGCAGCCTGGCTGAGACTCAAGGGACTCATTCCTGGCAGCCCTGGCGCACAGCCCCGGCTGCCATCGCAGCCAGCCAAGCATGTTGGATGGCTAAGGAACTTTTCCTTTTTGAACCACACTATTTCCAGTCAAGCACTCGCAACTATTTAAAGATGCAACCAGCTGGGACTCATCCATAAGCAATTAAACTCCTGTCTGTGCAAAACCAAAGGTCAGCAAGTTGGGCTGTGCTGTGGCAGGGAGGGGAGAGCATGCTGCCAGCAGGACGCACAAGGGGGAACCTGTAGCTCTGCACTTCATGCCACTGGATGCCTCCTGCTTCTGGTCGTATACTGAACAGCACAGCTACCTTAAAAAGTTTCTTGTGGAGAAAAGAAGGCGACTGGGTAAATACCTCAGCTGGAGCAAAGTGCTGGATTATTTGTCGCACAGCATGGCTGTACCATCTTAAAGGCAGAACGGGCTGCAGGATTTCACCTGTTGTTATAATTAAGCTTCACCCATGACACAGCTTAATTGCATTCATTCGGCTTTGTGTACACACCGGGATGAGAGCTATATTTAATGAACTTTGTCATTACACTTCAGTCAGGAAATCACTCATTGTAGACAGACATCGTAACTGCTTATGGCTTAGCTTCAACAAACTCAACAGAACACAAAGAGCTATAATAAGAAAAAACAAACAAAACATGTTTAAGCTGGTATAGCAATGTTTTTATCAAGGCTTTCATTAGTACAGGGCACCCAGTGTTTATCTCCTATCTGTTCTTGCTATGTGACACAAGAAATGAGTGCAGACCTGGTCACGGTAAAGAGAAATCACTAGCCCAGAGAATTTACAAATTACATCAAAATTACAGAAGGAAACAGAAAACATTATTTTTACTCCACTCTTTGGAAAAAGGCTGCAGATAAGTGAACTGGTTGAAGTAACACAAGATCTCCAGCTGAAATGAAAACAAAATTGTCTCTTCAGCTTGCACAGAGATTAATCTACAAGAACTAACTTTTCTGTGATCACTGGATTACAACTTTAATGGCATACATTCTTAGCTTTATGCCTTTTATTTTAGCAGGATTCCTCTTTAATCAAGAGAATGCCAGACATTCACTCACAAGTTTAGGAGGACTCTGAGGAAGACAAGATATATAATCATCTCTGCAAATGATGAATCATTTGTACAACATTCTTCCCCTTTACAATTTTATTGATGCACCTTCCTAGAAGTCAGATGAACAATATTGTGCATATTTGCTCTAATAGCAGTTGTTGTACACCAGAATCTAATCTTGCCAACAGCGCTGTCAACAACCTGGGGCAAAAAACGTGGATTTCAAGCAAGTACAAGCACACAGACAGAAGAATGAAGAGAGACAGGGGAACTTGTATCAGCAATTAAGAAAACACTAATAGGTTGTAAATTCTTCTCTCATGAGAGAGGCCAGTTGCTGTAATTGCCTCTACACTGCAAAAATGTTATGGCTTACAGTATCCAGATTGAACTCTAGAATGGTATCTCAGTATTGCAAATAACTCCTCACATCCATCCAGATGGTACTATTTCCTTCGAGTCATCTCAGCCTAAGTCCCTCTGTAGGAGAAGACACTTGCACAATGTCAAAGTGCTGCCAGAGAAGAAAACACGTCTTGTAGAGACCTGAAAGATGAAGACTTAAGTGCTGCCTTGGCAGAGACAAGCATACCCTCAGGTTCTGTCCAGCAGCAAGTTCACACAACTTTGCAGTTAAAAGCTGTGCCTAATAAAACCAGACAAATGTGCTGAAGATAAATAAAATCAATGTAAGTCAGATAACGTAAGCGATATTAAGATATGATACATAAGATTTATAAACCATAGGACAACCTAACATTATTATATAGCACCATCATGTAACTATGGATTTATCTACTAAGTATATATCTACTACTTATACTGTATATACTTTATACACAAATCATACAGATTTGTAAATATATAAATCTGTACGATACAGATGCACCCATAACAGCTTAGCCAATACAGTACAGCATAAATCCTCCCTTCAAATAGAGGTCTTCATACTGCTAGATTCTAAATTAGGGCCTGAGTTCACTGATTCTTTTAGCAGTGTTTCCCTCGTATGCTCACAGAGTTAACAGAAGTACAATGAACTTTTGAAACAGATAGCTTATGCCCATAGGTATAATCAATGAATATCAAGATGTTATAATTATGAAATAAACAAGGGAGTTAGGCAGAGCAGACTATGATAACAAAAGGAGAATAAATAGAAGGCTTACCCCATCCTGGGCTCACTCACAGAACACCAGCAGAGCAGATCTCCAGAAGAGATCCTTCCCCACTGGCAGTCAGCTCTTAAATAGGTCTAGGAGAGGTGCAGCCTGGTTCCACCCCTTCCGGCAGCACAGGTGAATTGCCTTCACCTGTGCTCCTTTGACTGACTCATTGCTGGCCTCAGGTGATCAGAGGTTCAGGCCGTGACTCTGCAGTTCCATACAGCCCAATATCACCGATGCCTCGAAAATGCTGTCTTCCACGGTTGTAGGATGTTAAAGTCAGCATTCTTGTAAACATTTTGAATCTCGGAACTCAGCTTCCTTCCCTTCTCCTAACAACTGTTCACAAAACTACCTGCCTTGAAGTGGTGCACTGCAGAATTCAAGGATCCAAAACCAACCAACCAAAAATGAAAACCCATGCCAGACAAACTAAAGCAGTTGTCAGAACAGGTTGGGATCGGGATGCACATTGCATGGCATGCATCTCCCTTTGTTTCTGCTGGCCAGCAGAATGCCAGGATGCCTTGGAGGCTTCTTTCATATACTTGTAATGTTTTTATTTGCCAAGACATACTCAAACTTTTTTTTTCTGGAGCATCCTGAAAGGAATATCGAAATATAAGGATTTTACTTGAGGTTTGAGATCTACTTCAAAAATACCACTGAGGTCAACACACACCTTTTAACTTTGTTAAGCACTAGCTTCAGCCTCTGGTAAAAACAGGAAAAGACAGAAAATTTGACATTTGCATACAGCCTCTCAAACAAACCCATGCCTGTCCTCTGCAACACCTTCCTAAGACTGCACCGTAGCACTTTAGAAATCTTCTCACATTGAATCACAGAATTACGTACCAATATAAAAGACATCTATGAATGCACTTATGCATATGTATCTCATGCTTTCAACTTCTTGTTTTCTAGATGCCAAGACACCACCTGATGCTTCAAGGAATATACAGCACAGTGAAGAGATAAAAGGATCCTTCCTGCACCCCCTCCACAACTGTATCCCCATTCCAAAAGTGATCTCCAGCCATGGGAAAACTGACATCAAGTAACAAATTTCTGAACTGATCAGATTTTAAGCCCTTCAGCAGATTCAGTGTGTCTGCACTACCAAGGTGATGGGCCCTACAAAGAGTCCATCATACCTTGTGGTGTATTTCACCTCTGCATGCTTTCCTCCCTCCTGGACAAGCACACAAAATAACATAAGGATGGTCACAGTCCCCCAAACACATACCAGGACTGAGCAATATCACAGTGGGTAGGTATCTGCAAGAACAAGGTAGGTCCAGTGACCTAGTAAAATGCACATGCATTTGCCTTCTCCAGACAGTGACAGTCAAAGGAAATATGAGCACCTCCTTAGAGTCTGGCATGCAGTTGTTTAAAACCTACAGGTGGGCGACAGCTGCTTTACTGCAACCCATCACCTAACACTCAAATCAGCAGTGCATGCCACCAGGTACTCTGGCTCACCTGCAACACAAGTGTAAATGTACTTCAAATACTTCAGGTATATTTTTTAGAGTCAATGTGCATAATGTGCACAATGTGCATAAACAAACTATTACAACAAACTACTTGAAAACATTTTCTTAGAGCTTCATTAACTCAGTATTAAACAAAAAAATTAAGGCATAGTAAGCATACATACAGCATAGAAATGAATAATACATTTGCATTTTAGTGACAGTATTACACAGTTGGGCACGGATTGCCACCTTTATCTAGAATAAGGCTCACTGAAGACAGTGGAAGTTCTTAGGGTCTACAGCTCTCAGGGCACAACTTAACAGAGGCTCAGAAAAGTCAACTGGCATTAGTTTAACATATGACCTAAAAAAGAGTAGTTAAACTTTATTTGGATGCTTTCCTTCAAAATTAAAATGACTTTAATACGATTTCGTTACTTAAGTTTGGAAGTGAAATAAACTAAATCAAATTAGGCCACTGTAATGCTGAAGAAAAGCATCCACACGGTTTTGATGCAGTACAACAAACTGCTTTGAAAATTAACTCATGGTTTTCCCATGAGTGTGTCCATTCATTCAAAAAAACCCTTTAAGAAGGCTATAGTTAAAAAAAAATAATCCAATTAAATTAAAATCTGTCTTATCCACCGTTATGGCACAGTTGTTATTGTGAAGAAATAGCTACATATTAAAGTAAGTTTCTCTGTGGAAAAACTCATCCGGCTTCAGAAGAAACGGTATTTTTGCTGCAATTCTTCACAGCAAGTTTTATGAAAGGACTACAAAAACCTTCACCCTTTTCCTCGGCAATTGATTAGTGACATCCAGTGCAGTAGCTCAGAGGGCAGGTCTGAAGTCCTTTATGGCTTTGCTTTAAGGCAGAATGACTTCTTATTCAGCAGACAGCATGTTTTATATCTACTCACAGGAGGCAAATTTCCAGCTACAATGAGACCTCCAGCATCTTCCACAGTCTTCCAAACAAACTAATTCAGGAAAGTCAATTAATAGTGGTTAAATATTAGCTAACAGCTCAGAAGAAAAGACACAGCAGTTATAAGGCTAAAAGGATGATTTGACATGCACTATTTTAAGAGCACTGGGCCAATCAACAATTTATTTTGTACTTCCTGCTGACCAAGAGAATGGGGGAAGACATATCCAGAACAAGACTCTAAGACTCCAGAAGTACCACCTGCATTTTTCCCAGACTATTTTACTTGTCGCTCAAATGCTTTCCCTTCCATCCCGTTTGCGCAGACGATCTGCAAACACTGTTACACTAGAGATGGCAAGGTCTCTCAACGGAGCTGTAAAAGTAGCATCTCTTAGAACTGATTTTATGCACAGTGTGATACATGTATTTCTATAGTACCTTACCACAACACACATTTCTGTCGGTCTCCAGCTATACCAGAACTTGACATGTCTCAGGGACACTGTCAGGCTTCTTGGAGATGACCTGGTGGTACCAAGGCACTCAGCTAGTCCTACCACTCTTACAAGAGCCAGACACAGCGACACCACGATAAAGAGCTCTCAGCAGAACAGGACCACACCTACCCATACTATGACAAATACAATCTTGTAGCTGCAGGCTCATGCATCATTAAGAAATGGGACACAATGGCACATCATTAGGCACATTACGGAAGCATGCATTTTCTCTGAATTTTTCATAACAGCTACATTCAAAAATAAACTATTGGACGCTGGGCTATTTTAAGTCCTCTGACAAGTGCCCTCTGGAGTCTGACAAATGTTAGCAGCACTTATAGCTTATGAAGTAAAACTTGCTGACTTCAAAAGATTCTAATACTCAAACTAACCATAAAAAAAATGGTGGTTTGCAAGCTTTTTTCTTTTTTTGCACTTTTTTAAAAATTATTTTTATAAGACCTTCCTGCACCAACAAATTAAGCACAGGGGGGCAATTTCAGGTTAAAAGCAATATTTAAGACAAAATGTTTAATAGCGGCTGATGCATGCTCAATTACATCGTGTTTGAAGCAGGTCTCAAGATCAAAAGGAGAGAAATGTTACATTAAATCAGAAAGTTGTTTTAAAGCTGCAATTAAGAACTCAAACTCAAGGGAAAGAGTTGTTTGAGTTGGTAGGGGAAACATTATACACAGAATTAAGATCAGCATTATAGTTGTTGAAACAAAGAAAGCACCCTAGATAAGAAGCAGCACATAATTGAGTGTTTACACAGCTGTAAAACATCTACCAGGAGAATTACAAGTACACGTGCTGGGAGACGTGGCAGGGGAAATCTTCTCTACCTGATCCTGCTCAACAATTTGCTTTATTGCCTGGTTGCTCTTGGTTCCGCGAGCAGCACAAAAGGTTGATGATCAGTTTAAGCTGTGCGAATCAGAGATGAGTAGACTAACAGAATCCTGGAAGTTGGAAGGCAGCTCTGGAGACATCATTCCAACCCCCTGCTAAAGCAGGTTCCTGAACGTACGTTACACAGGAAAACTAACCTGTAAGTTTATACAAACAACACGAAGGGCAAAAACGTGCACCAAAAAGGCTCTTAATGCTTAAATGAAGAAAATATGAAGTTAAAATCTAAAAAGGAGAGAAAAGAAGAAATAAGTCTTTGTACAGGCTGGATGTGGCTGTAGGCAGCCTGGTCTGGTGGTTGGCGACCCTGCACATAGCGGGGGGGTTGAAACTCAATGATCATTGTGGTCCTTTTCAATCCAGGCCATTCTATGAAAATACTTACAGGTAAGTTATTTAATTAATGAACTAGTCGCAGCATACTTATTTTTGCTTATATTGCTTTCACCTCCAAATATTTCGTAATTTATTCTTTTATTAGTTTAGTGTGTTTGATAGGGACACACAAAACATTTTAAACTTCCTCACATTTAGATTTGTAATAGCCTTAGAAAAGACTTGTTACTGTTGTAGTTAGTGCTGTTCTTTAATACAAAGTACTTTATAAAAACTGGTGATAATATTCAACACAGATGAAAATGAAATAGTTGTTAAAGGAGATAAAGAAGAACCTACTATATCTGCTGCTTCCCAATCCTGGCACCATCAACTTACACTGGAAATAAATACTACTAGTCATTACTACGATGTTCAGTCATGGAATCATAATAGTTATCTCACACTCAAATCTGTGCTGCCACCCTTGGAAAAAAGTATTTGAGAGAAACACATCTATGGACATCATTAACTTCAGTCGATGCCCTTAAAGCAGATGAAGTTTTTGGCAAATGCTGAACACACACTTAATAAACAATTTCAAAATGGGGCACTCAGACTCCTTTAGCTTTCATGGGAACATTGGGAGGATTCAGAAGAGGCTCACTCACAGAAGAGCTGGTGCAAACTTCATAATTCGATCACAGAATTAGACAGAGTTTTGCCACTCTACAAGCTTGGCTTTCTTCTGCTCTCCAGCACTTGTTTCCAGTACCTACACCACAACTAAAAGACCTTTTCTGTTGTGTCCTACTCCTCTCCCACTTCCCTAATGGCATAGTAGAAGGAGGAGGAAGCCCTGCTGCCCTGC